GTTCTCAGTCAGAAAAATCTTGAAACTTTAGGTCAGGATTTCATATTTACCGGATTCTCCATGTTAAACTGAAAATAGTCATAGAAACATAATAGACTAGGTCTCTGATACATCCAATTGTTTTCCATTATAATACAAAGCTGACAAAAACTGAAAATAGTCATAGAAACATAATAGACTAGGTCTCTGATACATCCAATTGTTTTCCATTATAATACAAAGCTGACAACAGAGCCCCGGCAGGAATAGGACAGATAAGTACTGCTGAATAAGGAGCAGAAGAAAAATCTGTTTTACAAAGAATTGCCTAATGGGTTATGTATGAGTAAATTCCTGCCCTGGGTAATACTGTGGATACAGAGAAGGATATGAAATCCCTACGGCCTGGAGAAAATGGAAGAAGAGGAAACAGAGATAGAGAAAGACTGAAAAAGAAGAGAAACTCAAAAACAACTATTTCACAATCTGTTGGAAGGCTAGCTGGATGGTCAACTTCCCCACGGCATAGTCCAAGAGGAGCAGCAATCCTGAATATGCAGTGATATGAAGCAATACTGAGTATCAGGTTCTATCTTTGGCTATCAGAAAGTCTCAGAAAAACAGGAAAATAATCTCTTAGACCAATACTTGCTAATGGAATGTTGTGCATATGTCAAGATAGGAGACTTTTAAACCTTTCTGTCCTTCCACTCATATTGCTTATTCCACCCAAACCAGGTGGAAAATGAGTGGGGGAGGAGAGATATGCAGAATAAAAAGTAGGCCTGCATAGTTTGAAAAAGCCCCTCAGATGATTTGACATATGTTGTTCCCCTATAATGACAAGCTCCTTCCTCCACATAAGTTTAATTAGGCCCCAGTTCCACGAAAATGATAAGCAGATCCATCATACTTTCAGTCCAAAGCTAAAATTATGTGATTTTTATGGCCACCTAGTGGAAGAGATAGAAAACCACAAGCTAAACTGAGAATAAGTACGTAATCTAAAAGTATTAAATGTTGTTTTCCATACTCTGACAGCCAAAGACAGTTTCTCAAAGTATGGTAATATGTAAGATGATTCTAAGTAGCACGAGGATAAATGCATTTAAGCTAGTTGGGTTTAATGCAACATTAGAAAAAAGCATAAACAACACTTCAAATCCACCATTTTATAAATATGTGTTAAGGCTAAATTAACCCTAATTTAAAAAAGTAAATAGATTTTTAAAGAAACATTCACTTATATTATACAGGTACTATTAAAGATATTACTAAAGTCATAAGGTAACTCTAAAATAACTGCAGTTTTGGAAATAGTTGTCCTAATCTGGTTCTTCAAATGGAAGATAATTTTCCCTCAGTATAGATGAGTTTTATTTATGTATATAAAGTGAAGTAATCCATATTTTAACAGAAACAACCATGTTTTAAGGTACTCACATTTTTTCTCATCAAACAGTTTGTTTACCTAAACAGAAATTATTCCACAATCAAATTAGCATTCAGAATGGCTAAGTCTCTATACTTGCCTTTCTTAAAACATGCTTACCTAGGTAGTTATGCCATGATTGTAAATAGCTGATACCCTCTCATTTAGACAAGTTTCATTATAGAAAATATATTGCCATTTAATCTACCCAGTTAAACAAATTTACAGAGAACTGTTTGAACTCCTGCCAACTTACTGTAATGGAATGCACTTCAATGACCTATGTTCTGCTGTCACAGTGGTCAATTCTTTATCATAGAATTTAGAAGTTTCAAGAAAACCCTGAGCATTCAAGTCAGCATTCATTAGTGCTTAAATTTACGGATATTGGAATATGTAAGTGAGAATCGAAAGACTTATTTCGTTATCTTTTCTGATGGTCTCTATAAATGACAATAATAAAATTCTCATTTCCACCTCTAGTTGCAAGAAAGACTAAAAACTTAAGTATGTGGAAATGAAAATAGGATTATCAAGATTAGCTTAAACCAACCATCTTTTATCTCTTGGATGAAGACTGATTGTGACTCTTTAAAAAATTAGGATTCTGTTGACATTAAGGAATAGTTAGGGTTACTGAATGATTGTTGGGTGTCTACCTAACAGTATCTGCCACAGCATCCTTTCTAAAGCACTCAGTTTCCCTCTGAGGGAGCAACCATCTTATAGTTTCCTATTTACTACCCCAAACTTCATTTATACATATTATATTATATTTATCTATTTTTTACCCAAATGGCAGCATACTATACATACTGCTCTGTACTTCAATTTTTCACTTAACAAAATAAGTTCAAGACTTGTTCCATTTTGATATGTAATAAAGCCACTTCCTTCTTTTTAATAGAGGAAAAATATTCCATTGTACAAATGTTCCACAACTTATTTATCCAGTCCTATAAGAAAAGAAATTTTGATTGCTTTTAATCTTTACTATTATAAAAATACTGCATTACAAAACCTTGTACACATATCATTTTTGACAATGTGAATTAATGCTTAGAAGTGAAATTACCGATCCATACAAACTGTGGAATAGGCTATTGGCATTCTGTGGGAAAAATCACATTAAATTTATGGATTAAAATTTGAAGACTATGACATCTTTAGAGTCTTTGCAATGAGAGCAGAATATTTCTCGTTTTATTCTTTTTATTACATCACATTTTACTGATTCTAATATAAACATTTAAACACTTCTAAGTAAGGTTGAATCTCATAATCTAGAAGACTTTATAATCACTTCGAGGGCCAGGCATGGTGACTCATGCCTGTAATCTCAACACTGAGAGGCCAAGGCAGGAGGTCTGCTTGAGCCCAGGAGTTCAAGACCAGCCTAGGCAATAAAGTTAGATGCCATCTCTACCAAAAATAAATTTTAAAAATTAGCCAGGTGCAGTGGTGTGCGCCTATAGTCCCAGCTACTTGGGAGGCTGAGGTGGATGAATTGCTTGAGCCAAGGAGTTCAAGACCAGCCCTGGTAACACAGCAAGATCGCTTCTCTACAAAATAAAATTTTTTTAAAAAAATTATCTGGGCACAGTGGCATTCACCTGTAGTCCCAGCTACTCAGGAGGCTGAAGTGGGAGGATCACCTGAGCCCAGGAGATCAAGGCTGCAGCGAGCCATGATTGTACTACCACAATCCAGTGCGGGCTACAGAGCAAGACCCTGTCTCTAAAAAAAAAAAAAAAATCACTGTCGGCAAGTGACAATATGATAGTAGTTATTCCTGGTGGCATGACAGGTAACTGCCATCCCTGGCCATGTCATATAAACCATCTAAGGACCATTTGAGGAAGGCAGATGAGTTACGTTGTTGTTAGAAATCCTTTGGCGACATCTTCTGGTAGGATCAGGAAAGTGCAAGCACCAAAACTTAAGTGTCGCTGACCTGGAAGAAAATTTTTTCTTTTTCTTTTTCTTTTCTTTTCTTTTTTTCTTTTTTGAGACAGAATCTCGCTTTGTCACCCAGGCTGGAGTGCAGTGGCGTGATCTAGGCTGACTGCAGCCTCCACCACCCGGGATCAAGTGATTCTCCTGCCTCAGCCTCCTGAGTAGCTGGGATTACAGGTGCATGCCAACATGCCTGGCTTATTTTGTATTTTTAGTAGAGATCAGTTTCACTAAGTTGGTCAGGCTCGTCTTGAACTCCTGACCTCATGATTTACCCACCTCAGCCTCCCAGAGTGTTGGGATTACAGGCATGAGCCACTGCACCCGGCAGAAAATCGTTTCAAGAAATGTTACAGCATCAGGGTTCTTAATGGCACTGAGGACAATTCTGTGTGTGGGGGGGGGTGGGCGGCGGTGGAGTGGGGAACAACCTATTTTGATGACTCCGAATCAAAAAATAATTCAGAAGAATCATATTCTAAATGTTAGGTGTCAGTAATTCTTGACTGACATACTTTGTTTCTATTTTCAGTTTTATAATTGCACAAGAAATATAGGATAAAATATCACACGAGTTCAAGAGTTCTTTCTTTCTTTTCTTTTTTTTTTCTTTCTTTCTTTCTTTTTTTTTTTTTTTGAGACAGAGTCTTGCTCTGTCACCCAGGGGTAGAGTGCACTGGTGCAACCTTAGAATACAAATAAAAACTCTAAGTCCCAGATTATTTCATCAGAGGTATGGGCAGCAGTTTTTCTTAGTGTTAAAATTTTTTTTAATGCAAGTTATAATCAGTAGCATCTCAGATTTGATGAAATACTCTAAATCTTATTTTATGTCAGAAGCATTTTAGTTTCTCTCATTTTACACATTCATGTTAAGACCATTTCTATGTATTTATTTTTTCTTCCATTACATTTTCTCATTGGAAGTCTTTTTATTTTTGCCTGTTTTGTAAGCAACTACTTTATTGAATTCTCTTACTATTTATATTTTGTGTGTGGATTCTTTTGTGTTTTACAGGTATACGATGAAATAAAATTTAAACTCAAAGTATTTTAAACTATCTGCTGACATTTTAACTCAATGAAAGTTAAGATTTTCTATTACTTTTACTCGTCTATCTCAAGTACCTAGCATATTACCTTGTAGAAAGCAGGTAATCAATACATATTCATTAAATGAATTCTATTAATGTATCTTACTTTGTAATGTTACCCCAACCCTTCCCCCAAAAGAGATTATGAGTTTAGTGTAAAGAAGATCAAATATAAACCAGTAGGACTCAAAGTCCTGCTGACAATCATTTAAGGACAACAAACAGTAAGTCAAAAATAACCTAGCATATAAGGAAATAAAATACTATGAGTGAGAACCAGAAGAAACAAAAGCAGAAACAGACCCACAAGAACTTCAACTATAAAAATAACCAGAATAAAAATATAAAACAATAATGCTTTCTATGTTTAAATAAACAACAAAACAGTATTCCTATTTACTTTCCCCCACATATACACACAAATCCTGTAAGAAACTGGATATTTTATAATCAAATCTATATATGTGTGGTTATAATTAGATGTATTTTAATCATTAAAGACCCTAATTTGAAATAAGTGTTTTATTTCAAATGCTTACCTTTTGGATCTTAGATCTGATGACTCAAACTGGATATTCATAGGTCCAGGATCTCTTTCATGATCTACCTCAGAGATGAGAAGATGCCTAGAATCACTATTCATATTTGCCATTTTTCTCACACTCTAAGCACTGAAGAAGTTAGTCCTACACAAAGAAGATAAATAATTAATTTAAAAATATTTTATTATCCACAACTAATAAATATTCATGAATAAGAAATTGGAAAAATATGGGAATTTGCTGAAGATATCTTTTTTTTTTTTTTTTTTTTTTGAGACAAGAGTCTTACTCTGTCACCAGGCTGGAATGCAGTGGCGAAATCTTGGCTCACTGCAACCTCTGCCTCCCGGGTTCCAGCAATTCTCCTGTCTCAGCCACCCAAGTAGCTAGGACTACAGGCATATGCCACCACACCCAGCTAATTTTTGCATTTTTAGTAGAGACAGAGTTTCACCATGTTGGCCGAGATGGTCTTGATCTCTTGACCTTGTGATCCACCTGCCTCGGCCTCCCAAAGTACTGGGATTACAGGCTTGAGCCACTGTGCCCAGCTGCTGAAGATACCTTAATGAGGTATATGCCTGAAATATTTATCAGAAACTTGCTAACTTAAAATGGAGTTATTTCTTATTTTTTGGCTTACTAAAAAATAAGTGAGGCAATTCATTTCCAGTAATAAAACAGATTGGGCTATCTGGACTCATTTTTCTGGCAGACAAACTAAAAATACTGAATAAAATATTTTTAAAATCTTTGAAAAGCATCAAACATAGTGAGGAATATCAGGCCACTGGTAGGTGAAAGAACTATGAGAGGTAAATGACAAGGAAACCGCTGCTGTCTGGAGGGTATTTGCTGCACCAGAGGAATTCAGGCTGAGGTTTTCAAAGACTTGTGTAGTATTCCACGAACAGAAGTCAAAGCCCAGTGCCCATCCAAAGTTAAGAAATGATTATAATAAGAAATCATCCCTTTTCCCTACCTCCCCACCATAATACAGCTATAACTATAAAGACCTTTGCTATCAGAGTACGGTTTAACAAGAAGTAAAAATGGCTTATTCCCTTACAAGGGACTATGAAGAAGTGTAGACCATAGAGTGTGAGCCGCTATGGCCTCTGGTCCATTTTAAAACTACAAAGAAGCCTTCTTAAAATGGACCAGAAGCCATAGTGGCTCACACCAGTAATCCCAGCATTTTGAGAGGCTGAGGCAGATTGTTTGAGGCTGTGAGTTTGAGACTAGCCTGGGCAAAACAGCACAACCTCATCTCCACTAAAAAACAAACAAAACTAGCTGGGCATGGCGGCACATGCCTGTAGTCTCAGCAACTTCGGAGGCTGAGGCAGAAGTGGGAGGATTGCTTAAGCCCAGGATTTGGAGGCTACAGTGAGCTATGATTGTACCATCGCACTCCAGCTACCTGGGTGACAGAGTGAGATCCTGTCTCAAAACAAACAAGCAAAACCAAACAAACAAACAAACAAAAAAACCAAATTGGCTGGGCACAGTGGCTCCCGCCTGTAATCCCAGCACTTTGGGAAGCCAAGGTGGGTAGATCACTTGAGGTCAGGAATTGAAGACCAGCCTGGCCAACAAGGTGAAACCCTGTCTCTACTAAAAATACAGAAAAACAGCTGGGCATGTTGGGGTGCTCCTGTAATCCCAGTTACTTGGCAGGATTAGGCAGGAGAATACCTTGAACCCAGGAGGTCAAGGTTGCAGTGTGCTTGAGATCGCGCCACTGCACTCCAGCCTGGGTGACAGAGCAAGACTCCATCTCAAAAAATAAAAATAAAAAAAACCACCCAAAACTACTGACCACAGCATGTGTGTGTATACACTTTTTTGTTGCCATAAACTGATAATTTATTACCATAAACTGCACCTCATGAGAATTTGCAAGAAACACTTAAAGCTATGAATATAATTTAAGATTAACCTGCTTGGTAGCACTTCCAGGTAACTGATAGAAGCAAATGTGAATCATTCCTGTGAAGACACACCTTCGTTGCAGGCCTCAAAGAAGTCCTGCTAACAATCATTTAAGGAGAACAAATAGTAGGTCAAAAATAACCTAGCATATAAGGAAATAAAGTACTATGAGTGGGAACCAGAAGAAACAAAAGCAGAAACAGACCCACAAGAACTTCAACTATAAAAATCACCAGAATAAAAAAAAAAAAAAATATATATATATATATATATATATATATATAAAAATGCTTCCTATGATTAAATAAACAAAAAAAGTAGAAATTTTCAAAAAATGACTTAGTATGTTTAAATAAGGACCAGAATGAATTTTTAGGAAAAAAAAAATTCAAGAGCCAAAATTCAACACTCAGTGAATGAGTCTAAAAGTTGAAGAGAAAATTAATGAAGTAGAAGATAAGTCAGAAAAAACTACCTAGAATATGGCAGAGAGAGAAAAATAAAGGCAGAAAATGTAGAAGGTAATTAAGAAACATGGAGGATAGAATAAGAAGGTCTAACAAGCATATAATTGGAGAATCAGAAAGAAGAAGACAGAAATAAAATCTGTAGAGATAATTGTTGACCGTTAAAGATACCAATCTACAGATTCGTGAAGTTAAAAGAATGAGAATTGATAAACATTATAGCATTTGAAAAAAAGAATTAAGGCCAGGCATGGTGGCTCACGCCTGTAATTCCAACACTTTGGGAGACCAAGGTGGGGAGATCACTTGATGTCAGGAGTCTGAGACCCACCTGGCCAACATGGTGAAATCCCGTCTCTATTAAAAAAAAACAAAAATTAGCCAGGATGGTGGTGGTTGCCTGTAATTCCAGTTTCTTGGGAGGCTGGTAAGAGAATCACTTGAACCAGGGAGGCAGAGGTTGCAGTAAGCCAAGATTGCGCCACTGCACTTCCAGCCTGGTTGTCACAGAGTGAGATCCTATCTCGAACAAACAAAACAAAAACAAAATAGAACAAAACAAAAACAAAAAAAGAACTAAAATGCCAGACCAAATAAAAAAAAAAAAAGTCAGATGAAGGTCTTTGGAATCAAAACGTCCAAAGGCCCTTATGTTGTCCAGATCAACGTTACACATTGATGTTATTTTAAGGTAACTATTAACATAATAGAAAGCAGTGTCTAACTTAAATTTAGTAGAGGGGAAAGAAGAAGGATAAAAAATAACTGAACTAAAGGAAGGCAAAAGAGGAGAAAAAGAAAATATAAAATAGGTGGGGAAAAATAGAAAGCCTAAGATAAATAAGATCCTCTTACCCTTTCTTCAGCCCGTGCTAATCATGACATCTTCTACCACTATACAGAAGCTGTTCTTACTGGATCACTAAAGACCTCCACATTGGTAACTCCAAGGGTTATTTCTCAGTCCTTAACTTACTTGACCTATCGGAAGTATCTGCCAAAAGGGATCACTTTTTTCCTTGATAAACTGGATTCACTAGACCTCCAGGTTTTTTCCCAACCTCACTGGTCCCTCCTCCTTTTCTGTCTCCTTTGCTGCCTTATCATCTCTCAGATCTCTTTACAGTTGCAGAGTTCTAAGGTTCAGTCTTGATCTACCTTCAATCTCTTGGTAATTTTATGCAGTCTTATGGTTTTACTTCCATGGCTTGTGTTGTCCAATACAGTAGCCAGTAGTTATATGTGGCTACTTATACTTAAATTAACTAAAATAAAAAAATTCAGTACCTCAGTCATACTAGCTGCATTTGAAGTGCTCAAAATCCACATGTGGCTAGTGGCTACCCCTTAGACAGTATAGATATAAAACATTTTTCCATCATTGTAGAAAGTTCTATTGATTTAGGCAATAACAACTTCCACATTTAATATCTCTAGCCTAAACTTCTCTTTTGAATTTCAGACTTGCATATTCAACTGCCTACTCAACATCTTTAGCTGGATGTAACAGACAATTCAAACCTAACATGTCCAAAACCGAATTTCTAATTTCCTTCCCCTGAAACTACCCCACCTATTGTTTTCCTGATTTTAGTTGATAAAATCTGTCTTGCTACTTGCTTAGGCCAAAATTCTTGGAATCACTTATGACTCCTTTTTCCCACGGTCTACATTCAACCCATTGGGAAATCTTACTGGCTTTTCCTTCAAATACATCCAGAATCTGATCACTATCATTTCTTACCAAGACTACCACAATAGCATTCTAATGGTGCTTCCTGCTTCTATCCTTATCCCTCTACAGTCTACTCTACACAGCATGTCAAGAGTTGTAGAAAAGAGTAAAAAGGAATTTGGCCTTACTCAATTGGTTGTTAGAATTGAAGGGAGTGCTACTGACACCCAGTGGGTAGAGGTCAGGGATGCTGATGAAATAAGATTTTAACATGTAAAAGCAACTGATATAGCTTCATTACTTACCCTGTAAGTTACTATTATTATCCTCAGTTTATAGATAAGGATACACAGCAGAAAATTAACTGATCACAAAGTAAGTGGCAGAGGTGAAATTCAAACTGAGGCAGTCTAAATCCAGAGCCTGTACTCTTCACCACTATGCTGTGCTGTCTTTCCTGTTCTTTGCCATTTCTTTCTCCCTCCCCCGTATCTTTCACCTTCTTCTGTTTCTTGTTACTGCCCAGACTACTTCACAAGTACAGTTTTATTGTTGCCATATTTGTTTAATGGACTCATATGTCCACTTTTCTTAATATTCTAAATGTAACATTTATAAAACAGTAGAAAGAAAATAAAGTTTTTGAATCAGAAATCCTGTATCTAACACTTACTACCTGTGTAATTTAGCACTAACCATTTAATCTCCATGAGACTATCTCTGCATCTTCAAAATTAAAAAAAATAATAATGTTTGAGGTTTAAATGAGATTATGCATATTACATTTAGTATTAATTTTTTTTTTTTTTTTTTTTTTGAGATAGGTTCTCACTCTGTTGCCCAGGCTGGAGTCCAGTAGCATGATCATGGCTTACTCACTGCAGCCTCCAACTTCTTGGGCTCCAGTGATCCTCCTACCTCAGCCTCCCAAGTAGCTAGGACTACAGGTATGCACCACCATGCCTGAGACAGGGTCTCACTCTGTTACTCAGGCAGGAGTGCAGTGGTGCGATCTGGGCTGGCTGCATCATCCTCCCCACAGGCTCAAGCTATCCTCCCACATCAGTCTCCCAAGTAGCTGGGACCCCAGGTGTGTGCCACTGTGTTACCCAGCCTGGCCCCAAGTAATCTTCTTGCCTCAGCCTCCCAAAGTCCCAAGTGCTGGGATTATAGGCATGACCACCGTGCCCAGCCTTAAAGCTTTTCTGAATGTCTTGCTAAGTAGAAGTATAATGAATGAGGTTGAGAGGTGAATTAGAGTTCCATAGCAAATGTTGCATAGACGATATTGCAGAATAGTTTATCAATGATTAACTAAAATGCTAAATACTCCTACAGCATTAATTTGTCAGATATAACATTGACATAATTTGGTAGGGGCTAAATATACAAGATGACATAAACAGACATAGTCCAGCCTGGCCAACACTGGTGAAACCCTGTCTCTACTAAAAACACAAAAATTAGCCAGGCGTCGTAGCACGTGCCTGTAGTCCCAGCTACTCAGGAGGCTAAGGCAGGAGAATTGCTTGAACCCAGGAAGCAGACGCTGCAGAGCAAGACTCTGTCTCAAAAAAAAAAAACAAAACCCAAAAAACAAAAACAAAAAACCCAAGCATATTCACTTTTAGCATCTCATTCAATCTCTAAGTTTTAAAACAAAGTCGCAGATGCAAGACTACTAAATCAAACCTAAGTCATTAAATGAGTCTCTAATTGTTTAAGATTGGTTTTAGTATGGAGTCCTGCTATAATTTAAATGTTTGTATCCCCACCAAAATTCATATGTTGAAACTTGATTGCCAATGTTATGGTATTAAGAGGTAGACCCTTTTGGAGGTAATTATCAGGGCAAAACCCTTATGAATGGTGTTAGTAACCTTATGAAAACATTGAAGGGAACTAGCTAGACTCTTTTTGTCTTTCCATCCCTTCCCCCTTGTGAAGACACAGCAACAAGGCACCATCTTGGAAGCAGAGGCCAGGTCCTCACCAAATATCAAATCTGCAAGTGGCTTGATCTTGGACTTCCCAGCCTCCAAACCTGCTAGAAATTAATTTATATTGTTTTTAAATTACCTAGCCTCAATTATTTCATTAGAGCAGCACCAAGACACTAAGATAAGTCCCAACAGGGAATCAACAGCTTAGATGATTGCTTGGTACTTTCAACTTTTATTTAAAATGTTGATGACTGAGCCAGGCCTGTAATCTCAGCTACTCGAGAGGCTGAGGTGAGAGAACTGCACGAGCCCAGGACAGCAAGCTACGATGGCACCACTGGATTCCAGCCCGGGTGACAGAGTGAGACTCTGTCTCTAAAAGAACAAAAAATGTTAGTTAGGAAAAAAAGAAAAGCACTTCTGTCCATAAAAAAAGGACATAGAGAACAACCAAAGAAAACTAGTATGACATTATTATAAAAAGGTATTGACTGTGAGTATTGGTGTATCTCAGAGAATATCAGCCCTTTCGATACTAGGCTTAGAAACTTCTTTTTGCAATTCTTTGCAAAAGCAAATCTGTAGTCTCTATGCCAAGACGCTAGCATCAATCTGCAATAGAATACACTAGCTTGTACCAAAATAAATGTGACTATGGACCCACATACAACCATATACATGCTCTGAGAGACTAAAAATGAGTATTACTGAATACTTTTGTGTATGTTACAGAGTTTCAGATACTACATTTATACTCAGTGTACTAGGCTAGGGAGTGACATATAGTTTTTGTGGCTACTCAACTCTACTTGTTAGCATGAAAGGCAACATATAAATGAGTGTGCATGGCTGTGTTCCAATAGAAGTCTATAAAAAAAAATCTGTCAGCAGGCCAAATTTGGTCATAGTTTACCCAACTCTGTAGTATACCAATATAAAAGCAAATGGAACCACACCATAAAAAAGGCACCCTGGTGGAAGCAGTTATGCTATGTACATATGTTTTCTTCTGTATTAGTCTGTAGTAGCTATAAACTCCAATAACAAATTTATCTAAATCACTTCCTGATGAATCATTTACTGGTTAGCCAATAGGAGCAACAATACTCCAATTCTGATGTGACAGTTGGAACGTGCTTCCAATCTGATCAATAAATGCTTCCAACGGCGCTAAATTTGACAGTGCTGGAGGAGAATGTGGTCTCACAAAGAAATTACCAGTCAAAGCAATGCTATGGTACCAAAGAATCTCTCCTTCTATACTTGTAACACTAAATGCTCTCAAGTTATATTTAAGTAAGAAAGAATCCTAGCAAAGGACAGAAATTTAACTATGTTATAAAATGCTGGCCTGGTGGACATTTTTAACCTCTCATTGATTTTTTTTTTTTTTTTGGTGTTTTACTCTTATGACCATATATACTTTTTAAAAAACACCATACAGGCCCATTGTGGTGGCTCATGCCTGTAATCCCAATGCTTTGAGAGGCTGAAGCAGGAGGACTGCTTGAACCCAGGAGTTCAAGTTTACAGTGAGCTATCATAGTGTCACTGCACTCCAGCCTGAGTGTCAGAGCAAAACTCTGCCCCCAACCCCAAAAAGAAAAAACAATACTAAACCGTACTATTTTAATTTGTAGTTAAGGTTGGTATTTCATCCTCCTATGCTGAGTTTACCCTTTATTGTAAATATTTAGGGTATTACAAAATCACAATTAAAAGCATATTATTTTATGTATCTGAAATATATAGTATTTAAGATTGTGATTAAAAAGCTAAAGCTAACTGTTCTCAGAGGTCTAAAGGGCGTAAGTTAGGGAAAGAAAGGTAAATTTTATTTTCTTAGAGACAAAAAACCTATAGGTGACAACTTTTTTTTTTTTTTTTTTTTTTTTTTTGAGATAGGGTCTGGCTCTGTGGCTCAGGCTGGAGTGCAGTGAGTGGTGCGATCTCGGCTCACTGCAGTCTCCGCTTCCCAAGCTCAAGCGATTCTCCTGCTTCAGCCTCCCAAGTAGCTGGGATCACAGACGAGAGGCAGCTACCACGCCCGGCTGATTTTTGTATTTTTAGTAGAAACGGAGTTTCACCGTGTTAACCAGGCTGGTCGCGAACTCCTGACCCCAAATGACCCACCCACTTCGGCTTCCCAAAGTGTTGGGATTACAGGCGTTAGCCACCGCAACTGGCCAACCTTGTATCTTAACACCAAGTTTGTAGTTGTTTATGAGGCAGAGAGATTTTTAAGTTAGGACATGAGTTATTTTTGATCTATTGAAACGTTTCTAAAAAGCCTTTCTCCTCAGCAGCTGCATGCTATTCTACATATGTCCGATCTTTGTCATGTGTTAAAGTATTAAAAAGAAAACAAGGAGCTGGGCGCTGTGGCTCATGCCTGTAATTCCAGCACTTTAGGAGGCCAAAGCGAGCAGATCACTTGAGGTCAGGAATTCAAGACCAGCCTGGCCAACATAGTGAAACCCCATCTCTCCTAAAAATGCAAAAATCAGCGGGGTGTGGTGGCAGGCACCTGTAATTCCAGCTACTTTGGAGGCTGAGGCACGAGAATCGCTTGAACCCGGGAGGCGGAGGTTGCAGTGAGCCAAGATCGCGCCTCCAGCCTGGGCGATAGAGAGAGACTCCAAAGAAAGAAAAAGAAAAGAAAAGAAAAGAAAACCAGGTGGAGGTACAACTTACAGTGTGCTGATCTACAGAGCTAGGCAATAGATAAGACACTGCCTGGGAATCATGACAATCAGGTCTAGTCAAGTTTGCCATTAAATGGTTACCTGGTGTTGAGCGGGGTTTCTCTAACTCGATGGACCTGTTTCCTTCTCTGTAAAATGAGGAGAATGCGCTTGACTAGCTGCTCTTAAACCCCTCTTCCAGGTCTACTATTCTAAGGTGAAAAGACGTCAAGCTACCCACTTACCAATACGCTCACTCTCACAACTGAGTCATGTAAAAAGCGTGGTGAGGGCTTACCAGCCATGGCCCTCACTCCATCTGTGGTCCTAGCTCAAGGCCCAAAGGGGGTTCCTCCCTCATGTTCTCCCTTTAGATCTCCTCAACTCGGGATGGAGAAGGTTGCCCAGCCGCGATCGCACCACCTCATTCCAGCCCAAGCGATGGAGTGAGACCCTGTCTCAAACAAGAGAGAGACAGAAGGGTGCTCCCATTCCTGCAAGTCCCCCAGTTCTCCTGCTCCCTCCTTTCTCTCACCCGAGGGTCAGGGTGTTCATCTACACTAACCCTACCTTTTCCCTAAGGCTCTAGCTGACACTGACTCCCATAGACACTTGGATTTCCTCAGATCTCGAGGGGCTCCTGACCTTCGCACAGAGCCCCTGAGGAGCGCGCGCCGTCCCCCCGAAGCGGCCTCCCCAGCTCCCGGCTTTGGCCTCCCCGATCACTACAAGAAACTACGGTTCCGACGCGCTGCACTGAAGAACTACGGCAGGTGGCAACCAGCTTCGCCGCAAGCTCAACCCTTCCAGCAGCCTTCCCTCGGATATCTTACCACCTCCCCGAGGGGTGAGTTTGCTAGACCTGGGAGCGTGATCTACCTGAGCAGGCCGAGCTTTCAATCTCGGAGAAATAGGCGAGAAGACAAGGACTCCCTTTTCCAAATCCTCGCAATTTGCGACCGCGGGGTTCCCAGTCCAAACAGGAAGCGGCAACTGCCTGGGCCGCGGGGACCGGCGGGGGTTGGAGTTCTGAGAGCGCCAAGCAGGCGGTTGCTGTCAAAGCTTTCGGCGCCGCAGACTACAACTCCCAGAGGGCTCTGCGACGGCCAGCACGCCCATCACCGCAGGGCCCAGCCCCAGGGCTTCAGGAGGCGGGGCAGCCCGGGCGCCCAGGTGGGCAAGCGTAGTCGGAACTGCAGTTCGCGGGTTTGCTCCAGTCCCTTGTCCCCCTGGAGGCCGTGAGGGATATTAGAAGGAATACGATCTCTTGCCATCCTTACAGCCCCGGAGGCCACGTGAGAAAACGCTGATGCGGCACCTCCATCAAGGGCTCACCCTTTTTTGGGCTTTCCTGGCGGGTGTTCTATGATCAAGTTACATGCTTGGACCCTTACCAAAGGGAAGCTGGTGTGAAAAAATTGTTGAGTTGGCATGCTCCCTCCGTCGTCTAGATATTTCTGTGTGTTTTTAAAAAATGTGTTTGCAAATGAGTTTCTAGGCTAAAGAGGGGCTTTAGAAGGATTTTAGAGGCCCAACCCCGATACTCAGCAATTTTCCCCAAAGCCTCCCCAAGTAAACATGCAATCTAAGTAAAATTAATGTGTTTGTTATCAGTTAAAGGTCAGTTCCTGAAAACCATATGGCAACCCTAAGCTCTTTTGCTAAGGAAGCCAGTGGCTCTTTTGTTTCTTTTCCTTTTAATTAAATCAGAAAAAAACCGTGTCTGTAATGCCACAAAAAAACTCAAATTTAGGCCGACTCCATGGCTTATGCCTGTAATCTCAGCATTTTGGGAGGCTGAGGTGGGAGAATCGCTTGAGGCCAGGATTTGGAGACCAACCTGGGCAATATAGGGAGACCCCCATCTCTACAAAAGAATTTAAAAAATTAGTTGGGCAGGTTGGCACCTGCTTGTAGTCAAGCTTACTTGCGAGGCGGAGGCAGGAGGATCATTTGAGCCAAGTGAGCTATGATGGTGCCACTGCACCGCAGCCTGGGTGACGGAGTGAGACCCTGCCTCCAAAACAAATGAAACAAAGCAAAAAACCTAAACTGAAGAATTCAAATGTAGGCCAGGCGCGGTGGCTCATGCCTGTAATCACAACACTTTGGGAGGCCGATGTGGGTGGATCGCAAGGTCAGGAGTTCAAGACCAGCCTGACCAACATGGTGAAACCCTGTCTCTACTAAAAATACAAAACTTAGCTGGGCGTGGTGGCACAGGCTTGTCATCCCAGCTACTCAGGAGGTTGAGGCAGGAGAATCACTTGAACCTGGGAGGTGGAGGTTGCAGTGAGCTGCGATTGTGCCACTGCATTCCAGCCTGGGTGACAGAGCAAGACTTAGTCTCAAAATAAAATAAAATAAAATAAAATTTACATTTAACAACTAGCTAACATTGAATGCCAAGAATTTTACATGTATATCTTTTTAAATCTTTATCACAGCTCTAGAAATGTATATTTTTCCTGTCTTACAGATAAGGAAATAGTCCCAGAGAACTTGTACAAGGCCAAAAAACTACAAAATGGCCGAAGATCTGGAATTCAAACCAAGATCTTATCCCAAAGCCTGCGTGCTCTCAAACACTGCATCTATTAGGGAGGACTTGACAAATGCAAGGCAAACAATTTAATGAATGTTGTATTTAAAATGGGAGATGAAAGTTATTTTGCTGATGGTATCCTTCTTCAAAAACTTTCGGAACTGCTCATTGGTCCTGCCATCAAGTCAGGGCTGGTCAAGTGACACAAGTCAGTAATACATTCTTTTGATAGCTTCAGTGATAGCAACCTTTCTTTTTTCTCTGCATTCCAGGCTGAGAAAATTCCAAGCAAGGCTGGGAAACACAAAAGTAAATAGTATGAAATGATGTAACCCAAACATGTCAAAGTGGGGAACTCAAAAACCATTTCTTCACAAAAGCAATGAATAAGCTGGCAAAACTGTCAGGAGCACCTTTTTTGGAAACTCTGAAACTAATTAAAAAAAAAAAAAACAAAACCAAAAAGCCAGGGGAACATGTAATTAAGACAAAGCTGCTGAATTTTGGTAAGAGAGTTCTGTGGTCATTTTCTAATCTCCAAGTTGGCAGCAGCCTTGAAGATGGCAGCCACATTCCTGGTGTGGGTTGCTGGCACCAGAGGGAGCACTACAGAGCTTATTCTAAAGGAATTATAGGTGTGTTTTGACCTCTCTGATGGTTTCCCGAAGGTTCAACTCAAGAGCTTCCCTTTGTTTCACCTGCCTCAGAGCTTCCTCAGGGCTCAGGAAGCTTCCCAGGCAGTGTTTGTCAAAAGTATTAAAGGCAAACAGCCACTTCTATAGAAAGCAAGGTATGAAAGCCAGGGAAAGCAATAAACAGACCAAAACTCCTGGGAAGGAAGAGGCTGAAGAAAGAGATAAGTGGAGGAATAAAGACTTTGGAAAGCTTCATTTTATTGTGAGGAATCTAGAAGGCCATGGGCATGCCCTATCTGGATGTATACTCAGAAAAGACCAAAGAGTACCCTAAATGCTAACCTCTGACTGACCTTCAGGCTCCATGCAAGCAGGAAGTGAAGGCTAAGGCGGTGTTGTAAACTACCTAGTTAAGCATTGAAGGGGTGCCGCAACACATAGCTAATTGGCAAAGACTGGGAGTGTTTTCTCGAATTTTGGCCTTTTATCTTTTTATTGGTTGGTTCCAGACATTTAATAAAAGAAATCAACAACAACAAACTCTGGTGGGGGGTGGGATAAGCAGATATCCAGAATTACCATATTATATACCAAATGTCCAGTTTTCAACAACAAAAATTATGAGGCATGCAAAGAAACAAGACAGTACGGTCTATTTACAAGGAAAAAAAATTTAAAGAACATTCCTTTGGGAAGACCAGACATTGTCGATTGTCTTTAATATGCTCAAAGAGCAAAGAAAATAATAGACAATAACTGTAGGAAACCAGGAAAGCTGGATTGTTCAATAAATAGAGGATATTATTAAAGAGGTAGAAATTATAAAAAGCAATCAATACAGTTGCTGGAGTTGAAAAGCACAATAATTGAAATATAATGTTCACTGGAGGGGTTCAATAGCAGATTTGAGCAGGCAGTAAAAAGATTGGGGAATTTGAAGATATTTCAATTAAGAGTATACAGTTTGAGGAACAGAAAGAAAAAATAATGAGGAAAAATGAACAAGACCTGTAAGGATTGTGGAACATCATAAAGCAAATATGTGCATAGTGGGAATTCCAAAAGGAGAGGAAAAAAGAAAGGAGTGTAAAGAATATTAGAAGAAATAATAGCTGAAAAGTTTACAAATCTAGTGAAAGACAGGAATCTACACATCTAAGAAGCTCAATTAACTTCATGAAGGATTAACCGAAAGGGATCTACACCAAGACAAATTGTAATTGTTAAAAGACAAAAACAGAGAGAATTTTGACAACAGCAAGAGAGAAATGACTGATCATGTATAAGGAATCTTCAGTAAGAGTAACAGGAGACTTATCAGAAACTATGGAGCTCAAGACAGCAGTAGAATGACATAAGTGCTATGAAAGAGAAAGCCAAAAAAGACTCCTGAATCTGGCAAAAGTATCCTTAAAAAGTGAAGGAGAAATAAATATGTTCCTAGAACAACAAAAACGGAGGGAGTTCATAACTATGAGGAATACTAAAGGAAGTCCTTCAGCCTGAAAAGAGGCTGAGCAACAGTAACTCAAAGCCATATGAAGAAATAAAGAACATCAGTAAAAGTAACTGCACAGGTGAAATTAAAAGTGAGTCATTTTCTATTTTGGGGTTTGTAACACCTCTTTTTTTAAAGAAAAAGGATTAAAAAATAAATGCATAAAAGAATAATTATAAATCTATGTTAATGAACACACAATGTATAAAGATGTACTTTTAGACATTGCTATTCTAATGGTTGGAGAATTGAACATCTTGCTTTCTATAAAGGCCCAAATAGAAGATCAACAAAAAAGATGAAGACTTGAACAACATAGAAACCAACTAGATCTAACAGGCATTTATGTAAGGGTTATTGCCGAGTTTAGAATGAGGAAACTGAGACCAGCATAAGAAAATTACATGCCAATTTATTCAACTCCCAGGCGAGGTTCCATGGTCGTGGCCTGTGGAGGAATAAAGAAAGGCCGTGGCCCGTGGCTTCCCAAGGCATGGGGTTTTATAGCGAGTGAGGATGTCTTGATTGATTATGAGGGAACAGGACATGGTTGGGGCAAGCTGCTATTGGTAGGAAGGCGGGATTTCCAGTGAGCGGGCTGCCCAGGGGGGAGTGGGACCTGGATGGGACAAAATGCTATTGGGCAGGTTTTGGCGGGGCTTCTTTTAAATTTTGGTAGGGTTTTTTCAGCGACCGGCTTGGTGCTTGGTGCTGAGAGCGCAGTGGTGACGTCCTTTTGGGCGCGGAGAGGGATGGGCACGTCCAATCTCCCGGCAAGGCAACCGGCCTTACAATTTATAGGAAACCACCCCCTCCCAAGAACAGCAAAGTGTATGATATGGTTTGGCTGTGTCCCCACCCATATCTCATCTTGAATTGTACTATAATTCCCACATGTTGTGGGAGGGGCTGGTGGGAAATAATTGAATCATGGGAGTGGTTTTCCCCAAACGTTCTTGTAGTGAGTATCACAAGATCTGATGGTTTTATAAGGGGTTTCTGCTTTCACTTCTCTCTAATTCTGTCTGTCTGCCACCATCCACATAAGATGTGACTTGCTTCTCCTTGCCTTCTGCCATGATTATGAGGCCTCCCCAGCCATGTGGAACCATAAGTTCGGTTAAACCTCTTTATTTTATAAATTGCGCAGTTACAGGTATGTCTTTATCAGCAGCATGAGAATGAACTAATACAGTAAATTGGTACCAGTAAAGTGGGGCACTGCTGAAAAGATACCTGAAAATGTCAAAGTGACTTTAGAACTAAACAACAGGCAGAGGTTGGAACAGTTTGGAGGGCTCAGAAGAAGACAGGA